TGTTTCATTGTTTACCATCGCATCCTGTGCTGGCTCATACTTCCAACACATGATCGCATGACACTAATTTATCATGCAGTCAATGACAACTTCTTTGGTAAGATATATGCTATTAATATGTTTATGCAATATATACAATGCACAAAGTGCAGTTTTTTCAATAATTAATGTCAGATCTATTAATGGAATTATTCCTAAACATATATTTTCTATATGATGTAACCATTCATTAATAAAAAATGGCAATTTTAATTGCGATGGATAAATATTGCATATTGCAAAATATTTCTTATTTTCTGCTATGCATGTGATATTGTAATTAAAACAGGTTTTAAATATAAGTCTTAAATAAAATAATATTTGAATATTTTATTTATATATTTGGATTTCTACAAAAAAGAGATTTATCTATTTAACTATTTTTTATAGGTATGGGAAAGGAAGTAGAAAATCTTATTATGGAGAACAATGAACTGTTAGCAACAAAGTAAGTTTTTTATTTTGTTCGTGTGATAATATATCTTTACTATTTTAATAAACTAATATTAAATATTTTTTTATAGAAATGCGCTTAACGTTGTTAAAGATGATCTAATTGTCAAAGTGGATGAATTGACAAGGTAAGTCATCATTGAATCCTTATTATTATAATACCAATAGAATTTTTAAATGTTATTAGAAATATTAATATATTTCAGTGAACAAGAAATATTACGAGAAGAGGTTCGAGGTTTACAACAAGCACGTGAACGATTGCGGCAACGAATCGCCGCCCTCGAGGAAGAATTGAAAAAAGTCAAGGAAGAAGCAGAAGCGGCAGCTAAAGCGACAAAGAGTGACGATGAGGAAGACGTACCTTTGTCTCAGAGGAAACGATTCACGCGTGTAGAAATGGCAAGGGTGCTCATGGAACGAAATCAATACAAGGAACGATTTATGGAACTTCAAGAGGCTGTCAGGTGGACAGAAATGATAAGAGCCAGCAAGACCGATCCTTCCAGCATCTCGGGTGGGAAGGGTTCAGTATGGAAGTTGTACGTGTCTCTTAAATTATATGTATCTATTAAATAGATAGGAAAGTAGAACAAAATTAATCCGTTTATTTTCGTATCAGTTTTAGCAATCTCTTCACAGGCCCGGCCGATCGAGGGACATTAGTTCGTTCCGCGCACACGTTACCGCATGTACGGTACAGCGCACCGGCAAATCAGGTTGTTCCAGCTCCGCCCTTGGATGCCATGCGTAGACGTACGTTGAAAAGTCGCCAAGACTTTCTCGACCAAGGAGACACCATGTGAGAAATCAATCAAATTTTACTTCATGCACGTAGATATATTACGTCAATTTGACACATCGAGACCTGCCTAATTTTAATCTGTTAGAACTAATTTTCGTTCTCTTCGTCATTACACTTTCTTTCTATCTGATCATTTCCATTTAACGAATCTGAGTTTATTAAAGTTTTTCTTTTTCAAGGAGAATATCTCTTATGAATGCGTATTTCTATACATAGACTGCAATGTTAACGCGTAATTTTAATATTGTTTTTACTACTAAAATTTACTATTAAAATTGTAGTGACAAATTGTACGAAAGGTAATGTTATTTTATAATTCATACGGGCTGAATCGTAAAAAGAAACTTGGTAAATTTGTGAATTGCTCATCTTTGCAGATTAGAATCCTCTTTGGTCAATTGGGATCCATAATCTTTTGTCACGATTCACGATATTAGTCTCAATTGCTAAAGAGACGTGAGTCTTTTCTGAATAATTGTAATCTTTACTGGCAAATTTGCGCGCATTAACGCAGTATTTGTATTAACCAATCTTTGCTTCTATGATTCTTCTGGCTTTAATAAGTATAGAACAAAATTTTATTGGATTTAGTTATGTCATTAAAATTGAAATAATATATCCTTCTGTGACGCATCAAGATTTTTCTCTTCTTGTTCTATTTTGATTAATATATATTTTACTTAAATCCTTTATCACACAAATTATTCCTGTTAATCAAGTTTTATTATCAAGTTTTAGCATGGTTTGTATATTATATATGATGTATACATCGCTCATAAAAGTGCAAGAACTGCACTGATTAAGCCATTAGATAGATAGATCAATTTTTTATAGTAATATGTTTGAACGAAAAGAACATTTTTGTAAATACGATTTGTACAATTTCTGGAGAAATAATAACATGCGATCATTATTGATCAAAAGAAATAAATGAAGTTTTGATTACGTTATAAACTTGGCCTTTATTTCACTCTTGTTACTGCGTTTTTGGTCTTTTTTTGTTCGGGTTTCGTCCTTGCCTCTCCTTCGTGGCGTTGTCAAGAGATACCTGGTTTTTCTGGCTTCGGGTGGGGTGCTTATTGGTCAGCAGGTAAATCTGTTCCGCTCTATTTCTAACTTTCCGCTTCAACATCAGATTCTAAGAAATACAATATAGAGAGCCCGTAGATATATCCCGTATCCCGTATCTAACATATATGTATCATATATGTTTCTAAATTTACAAGAATGAGACTATTGTCGACTGTGAATCGGTGAAGATGGAACCAAAGTGGTCAGAAGATGTGTATCGGTCGGTTAAATCGAATAATCGAACAGTCAACAGTTACAGTTTACCGTTTGCTAACTTGGAAAAGTTGCAACAATCTTTTCCCTTCTTGCTCAAAACTCCTAAGAGCGATAATTAACGTATTGTTTATGTCGTCTTTACAGATCATCCGAGAAGCTCGTAGCAAGACGCGCGAGCGAACGAAGAGAACAATATCGTCAGGTACGAGCGCACGTTAAGAAAGAGGATGGCCGTCTGCAAGCATATGGATGGAGTTTACCAGGAAAGCCAAGCGCTCCCGTCAGACAACCTCCTGTTCCAGTTCCAGTGTATTGTCGACCTCTGCAAGAAACTGAACCGGGAATGAAGGTACGTATTATATTTTCTCGTTTGTTGATAAAGAGGAATGGATAAACGAGACGTCAATTTTGTTAGATCTGGTGTGGTGCTGGTGTAAATCTGAGTGGCGGTAAAACGCGCGACGGTGGCTGTATGGTTGGTGGAAGTGTGTTTTATGCTGCCGAAGCTCAAGAAATGAACAGTAACGCGAAGACAGAAGCTGAAGACGCTGTGGAACATCTGGATAAAGAACTTCAGGAAAATGAGAACCGACGGCTCGAAGCGGAACGATGGGAGCAACAACTTAGCTCACTCGTCTGGATCTGCACCTCGACACAAAAAATGTCCAAGGTCACGGTGATAGACGCGAACAATCCGGCGGACGTTTTAGAGGTGTTTAACGTTTGTCAGGGACACTTGCTTTGCATCGCAAGCGTGCCTGGTGCCAAGGAAAGTGATTACGCGCAATCCTCACATGAAAATTCGATTCGCAATTCGGCAAACGGCACGACGAATGACAGCGAGAATAACAACGGCGTCTGTGAAGATGTCACAAATGCCAACGAAAACGCCGAGCAAAATGGCCAAAAGAATCATCAGGATGCTGAAGTCGAGAAAAATAAAAGCGAATCTGACAATCAATCAGAAGATCAAGCAAATGAGAACACCGAAAAATTTGCTGAGACAGATCAGAATTCAACGAACGAACCACAGAGTTTGGAAAGTATAGATAGTGAGACTGCAAATCTGGGAAAAGTAAACTTTGTACGATGTAATACTGAGGCACATCCTTCACGGTTGAATGATAAGGATCCTGTGAATGAAGAGGCAAAGGAAGAAATCACTGAGGAAACATCCATTGAAAAGATGTCGTCTATACAACCGACTATGTGGCTCGGAGCTCAAAATGGTGCAGTATTTGTTCATTCGGCCGTTGCTAAATGGTCGGTATGTTTGCACTCTGTGAAGCTGAGGGATGCGGCATTAGCTATTGTGTACGTTATTTTTTAAATAATAAGATTTATAAGATATTAAAAAAATTTAACAAAATGAAAGTTCTATTAAAAAAATTTTGTTGATAAAAGATTAATAAAAACTTTCTTTCTATTAGACATGTGCAAGGTCGAGTTTTGGTCGCTTTAGCGGATGGAACTGTAACGATATTCCGTAGAGGTGCGGACGGACAGTGGGATTTGTCTCAATATCACGTGATTACCCTTGGTAGTCCTCAACATTCCATTAGATGCATGTCCGCAGTTAGCGGAAAGACAGTGTGGTGTGGATACAGAAATAAGATCCATGTAATCGATCCCATTTCGATGACACTTGAGGTATAGAATTAAAATATAATATATCTATAAAATATAAAAAATAAAAAATAAAAAATAAAAATAATTTCTTAAAAAATATATTTTAATATGAAAAAGATAAAGATAAAATTCGATAATTTTTTTTTATAGTGCACAGTGGACGCACATCCTCGCAGAGAGTCTCAAGTACGGCAATTGGCATGGCTGGGTGACGGTGTGTGGGTTAGCATCAGACTTGATTCAACATTAAGGCTTTATCATGCTCACACATACCAGCATCTTCAAGACGTTGACATAGAGCCGTACGTCAGCAAAATGCTTGGCACAGGAAAACTTGGATTCTCTTTCGTGCGCATTACTGCTCTACTCATTTCCTCAAATAGGCTGTGGATTGGTACTGGTAACGGTGTGATAATCTCGGTACCGCTTTCGGAAAGTAAGTGATGAGACAGCGTGACATTTTCATAAAAACACTGGCTAATTTTGTACACTGCGATACTGCAGGTGCGGGTGGGTCAATGGCAGTATCCAGAATGCAGACGGGTAGTAACAAAAGTGATGTGCCGGGAGTTGGCGTCAGAGTCTTTGCGTCGGAACGAGGCGTTACACCAGGAAGTTTTATACCTTATTGTAGTATGGCTCATGCACAACTCAGTTTTCATGGACACAGAGACGCTGTGAAGATGTTTGTCGCTGTACCTGGTGGGTTTTTTAAATATTCAACATAATTATTGTCGATTAGCTTTTCTTTTTACATAAGATTTTCCCTAAGAAAATAGCTTTGATTCAAATTGTTTCTAGGTCACGGTGGGCAGAGCGCGGTGACGGACGGAACGCAACCCGCCATGCTTGTTCTCTCTGGCGGTGAAGGTTACATCGATTTCAGAGTTGGTAAGCTAATTTTTATAGCGATTGCGCGGTATGTCATTTTGATTACAAGTCCTAAATAAACTTTATATAAAAATTCAATTATTAAAAAAATAAAATTAATTCATTATTTTTTATTACATAAAAATTAGTAAAAACATTTATTTACAACTTAAATTTGAATTTAACAAATTATTGCAATTTTAGCAGATGAAGCTGAAGACGAGAGTGATGTGGCAACACACCTAATTGTGTGGCAGATGGTCAGGTATGCCCCCAGAGAGAAGCAAGAAGTGTGATCGATTTCTGTGTCTCAATTCGAAATCATTTCTTTGTCTGTCTGACGAATGTTACCATTAATCGATGCATCCTTTACTAACAGAACAATATTTTCCACTGTTGCACGATAGAACAAAGTTCGACTAACAATAGCATTTCTATAATCTTTACATATTGAATTCATTTATAAGACTGGGGTATCTCGAATTTCTACAATTGCCTGCATATTTATCCCACATGTGTAAACATATTCAAGATCAAGTACGCGAAAAAAGAAGTATTCTGATTTAGTATTCTGATTCTTTAAAAGCGATAGTATATCGTATATTTTATTCTCTGGGGGTTGGGCTTTCCCATCTATCATGCATTATCTTGTACAAAACGCGACTTGTGCCTATTTTCTTTCGTTTGAATATTTATTCGTTATTAATAATATTTACATAACTATTTTTTCTAGGTGATGGGGAGGAAACGGAGGAAAGCATGGACCGATCGAATGCTACGGTCAGCAACGAAGAGCATGGCGAACAAAGTCATCTGATTGTGTGGCAAGTGCAATGTCCTTTACCGATGAATGGCTAGCCTAAGGACGAAGCGGACAAGCTAGACTTGCTAAACAATTCAGCTTGCGACGCGATATTATATGTATCGTCGATGGATTATCGTATCACGGATTATCAGATTAGAGATTGTGAATCATTGATACTGGAAGGAGCGATTCTTATCGCTGCGAACTAATGTGTGCTACCTAGATATACCTATATAATGATCGTAGCAGAATACGTTAATAATTCTCAAAATAATTCTCACGATTTTTCATATTAGCAGAGCGGAAACGATGATGTCAAATCACGAATTTTTCTGTGAGTCATGGATCAGTTATCGCGATATTTTTCCACGGCGGAAATAGATTCAATGTATGACAGTTTTTGCATGCGCGCAAATAGAATTTTCGGAGATTTTCGGGGATTTTCGGGGATTTATAAATTTTGTCGATGCGACTGGAATATCTTTCATCTTTCGCTTCTCGTTAAACCGCGCATTTCTTAACATAAACCTGCGTAGGAATGAATTGTTTAAATGACATGTGCTAAAGACGTTTCTCACGACAAGTGTTCATTTTAGAATATCACATTTTACGAATAGCGAGGAGGTAGCGTTATTTCAACTGATCATTGTGATAATGCGACGATATTATAACGCCGGACGAGATGAGTTTCGAAGCTGCCGTTGCTACATCGCTGTAATAAAACATTTGTTCGAAATACTTCGCGTTGTGTACCTGCCGCAAGAATATTTCCCAGTCGCCGTTATTACACAGCAGTACGCAGAGGATGCGTGCAACTCAGGCATATTCCTAGGCGTAACGTAATGTTAATTTTCCGTCGGAGAGTATATTATTTTCCAGACCTAATCAATTTTATTATTCGCGTACATCGTATCGAACATAATAATGATAATAATAATAATAATAATAATAATAATAATATATATATATAATTATAATATATATTCTCTCTTGTCTCCTTGATCAAGCATTATTAGATTGTGCTTGACGAAACGTAGCGGTTTACACGATTATTAGGAGCAACTCGCCAATGTAAATAATAAGATGTTTATATAGCGCGTTATGTAGATCCTTTATTTAATTTCTTCCCGCAGACGAGCGGAATCGTTTTACAAATACGTAAGACGTGTCCTTTATTCTTGTAATTTTAGTTCCCTTAATAACGCTACCAAAGAAAAATGAAAATGGCGATCCAGTTGTGTTGTTTGTATTATTTATATTTATAACGAGAATTATGCTTCGAAAAGGAATGTTTGCAGTTTCGTTTTAGCTCTCGGCTGAGCTAATTGATATATATCCGAACTGATAA